GATTTCGGCCCCCGAATCCGCCGCCCCCCGTACCCACCCCCGGAATATGCCCCCGAGACGGAGGGGCATCGATACCTTCTGACACGAGAATGTATAAATATTACGATGCAGCAAGTCGTCGGTCCCCTGACATACGGCCGTGCTAAGGAAGAACACCGTATGATCCTTCAGTTGCCAAATTTCCGTCGATAAACCCCGAATTAATTGGGAAAATTGTGATGGAGATGTTGCATGTGTGAGGGATTTGCGATTTGACTGTTGTTTCTTATGTTAAAGTTTGCGAGAATCACGATGGTGCCACTGGTTTTCTCTGAAATCAACTCCCAAGCTTAAAAAAAGCTCTCAAAGTGAGGCCAAAATGGAGGGGATATCCCGCCCTACCCTGAGAGTCCACCTCTACATCAAAACAAACTCTCCATGCAAAGATAGGGAGCAAATACATTAGCAGGGTTGCCGTGTTTTCAGTTTTGGAGTCCCTAAATGAAGTGGCAGCGCTGTCAATGTATTTGCTTTCTATCTTTGCATGGAGAGGTGGGCTCTCAGGGTAGGGTGGGATATCCCCTCCATTTTGGCCTCAACCTGAGAGCTCTTTTGAGCTTGGGAGTTGCTTTCAGAGAAAACCAGAGTGGCACCATCGTGTATCTCGCGAACTTTTACTTACGAATCAACAGTCAAATCGCAAATCCCTCACACATGCAACATCTCCATTATTTTCCCCCAAAATTTTCAGACGACTTTTGACGCACTTTAATCTAAAATATGTGAAAATTTCAAGGGGAAATTTGCCTAAATTGCGTCAAAAATACACGTTTTACCAAGGGAATTTAGAATCTCTCGAATGTTCTAGAGTACTACGGCGTTCTTCCTTAGCACGGCAGCATAGGAAAGTATAGCTCCACTCTGAGGCTCCAAAGTTCTCTCATGCAAGTCAACTTTTTGCAAAGTTATGACCGAGCAGCTACCGTCCAAAATGTGACTGATTTTTGCGTGTCATCGCAAGTAGAGTACCTCTAAAGAAAGAATACGGGCATATTGGTAATTTTGAGGTTAGGTCGTGGAGCTTTTAGGGCCCAACTGGGCAGCCAACCTGAAAATTCAAATTATCCAGAGTGACTCATTAATACTATTGTTACGACCCGTCATTTGTAAAGCACGTATTTGACTCAGTTTCCGCGTAAATTTACTCATTTTTTCGGAAGAACGCTCATTTTTGTACATTCCCGGCCATTTTGGTTTGATATTGGAATCTGAAGATTATCAGCGACATTTTTTGTAGTGTTTTTTGCATTAGAAGGTTGGCTGCCCTCTTGAGCCCCAAGAGCTCTATATTTCGACAAGTCCGTACTTTCCCCAACCCCATATCCATATTCTAATCTGAAGAACAATCAGTACAGTTTTCAGTTAGAAATGTCCAACAATCTCCCGGTAAAAATACAATTTGTGAGTGGAATTTTTGTAACTTTAAAATGCATTTACGGTCCTTCAATGCGAACACTGAATGAAAGGCTTAGGTACATCAGATTTCAGTCAAGCGGGACAGCCGGTAATGTTTCTTTTTCAAATGTTTCGCTGCTTGAGTTAACGTTCAATCGCATGACTTCTTTTCACCTGTGAATAATTATCGTTTGCATGGTTGCATGAATTCTTTGATGTCATTAAAACCATTCAATTCATGATCAAGTTTGTATTTTAATTGTCGTGTGCCCGCTGGATTCCAAATGTTTTATTTTGGAAAAACTCGTTTGCCAATGCGAAACCTTCAGAAACACATGCCCTAGTGTTTTTACATTGTAATGATTTTCTCTTCTTTTTTTGTGTTGCATGAGATGGTTTCAAAATGTCTAACTTAACAATCAGGTCTGCATATAATATTTTGACAACCAACAAAACTGCTGAAGAGAAAAATTAGGAACATGTCTTGGAAATCACATGAATTTCCTCAAACAAACAAGTAATATTGAATTCACCCTTTCATCATTGGTATATTTTATTCTGAAGTTTTGAATGGGTTTTCTTTTCCCCTCACAGTCATTATTCGCATAAAAAAAGGCGAAAATTAGGTAATATCAATTGAGAGTCTGATAAATTTTTAGAAAAATTAGACCATGTAACGCATTTCCTTTTCTTTCTTTTTTTGTGGAGCAAAATTATATCTGCTGCATAAGTAATTTGTTCAAAATTTTTCACGGATCTCTCATGGGAAAATAATTAATTTTGATGTTTCGGTGTTACAGAAGTGCGGCAGGAGGCTGTACAGCAAGCGTTGGCTGCCGTTCAAAATAGACCCAAACAAATGCCCATGCCTTCGAAGAGGACTTCAGTCATGGCACGAAGTCCAGACAGGCAGAGACATGACTCAGGTAAATTGTCAACAGTAGAATCACTGATCTCAAAGTTTTTACGCCCGTTTTTTAACCTCTCTATAGCTTGATTGAATGCATTCTACGTCTTTCATCATATTCTATTTTAAAATAGACGAGGCCAAATATATTTCTTTGAAACATTCATTACAGACTTTTTCAAGTTATTCTAAAGAACCTATCAAATCATGTTTCCTGTATTTCCTTGCCAATCTACATTTTAAACCGGGAGGAGCGAGGGTTTTATTCTATCATTTTTACAATTGAATCAGTCGATATTAAAATCTAACCTATCGATAGTTAAGGATCAATACCGCCTTTCTCCAAACTGACAATTTCAGGACCATTTCGCCTTTTTTTTTTTTTTTTTTTTTTTTTTTTTTTTTTTTTTTGTAATTTTGAGATTAGATTAGCAATTTGTTTATGCATTACAGCTTCATCACTCACAACGCTTCCATACAGAATAGAAAAACCTGAAAGCATTAGCTTGCATTTTTTATAATTCAAAATGCGGCGAAGTCGCCAATGGAGAATTTGCACGCAATTTTTTTATTGCTTCATCTGAAAGTGCCTAATGAGCTGAGTTCGCAATATTTTTCATAATTTTTTTCTGACATGGGAAATTGGAGAAAAATTGATTTAAAAGTGAGAAAATGTGCCGCCTTGTGACGTCATCTGGCGGCATTTCCCATTTAAACACATGTATTTTAGCAGAATCGGTTATTTTGTCATATCTCCTCTAATAATCGCTCAATTTATGAATCAAGGGTATCTTCGTGTTCAGTTCACTCAGAGGATTCCACTTAAACAGGAAATTCATCAAATTTCAGACCCTTGCAAATTCTCCATTCATTTTTACCAAAATTGACACTCAGGTGTATTATTCCTTAGCCCTCGTTATCCATTTTTGATAAGCCGCGGGGTTTATTAGAATGTTCAAATACTAAGGCTCATCAGATAATTGACATGCTAGGTTGTAACTTGACGGATTTACAGTTGAAGGTAGAGAATAACAAAATGTACAGAAGATTTATCACAGAGGTGTATAAAAAAGAAGAAGGTAGTTAAACATCATGATTGTTAATATCAAATTACAAATTGATCTACAGCATTTAGATTAATTTGTAATTTGATATCAACAATCATGATGTTTAAGTTATCACAGATGTGTATAAAAAAGAAGAAGGTAGTTAAATAGCACGATTGTTAATATCAAATTACAAATTAATCTACAGCATTTACGTTTTATTTTATAGCTTCGAGCTCAGATGAGGACAGTCTGGGGGATGGGCAAAGCACAGGGGAGAGTGAAAGACTGAGGGGGACCCAAGGAGGCTTGCACTCAGATACCAGCAGCACTGGCTCCGCACGGGAAACCCCACCTCAACAACGTCCTTCTCAAAGGCATAGGTAAGTCCATGTCCTGTCACTTCGGTCATAGGCGGTTCTACGGGGGTGCCAGTGGGTGCCGGGCACCCCCACACAAAAATTAAGTGCAGTTACCGGAACCGTGAAAGGGGCCTTCTTCTTCCTTCACCTCTATTAATTGCTTTTTTAACCAGTATAGAATTTAATATAGAAAGGACCAAATTATACTGCTTTTAAAGATTCTGCATTCGCTCACACTGAGTAAAAATCCCAGCAATTAATTGAAAATGTTTTAAACAGAATTAATATTGATAGCCGTGTTTTACAAAGATTCTACTGGTTTTTATGGTAAGATTGTAGTTTTGATGGAAAGTTTTGCTAAAAAATTTTCTACGTTGAATGTATAGGTATTTCAGTAGAAAGAAAGGAGAGAAAAAGAGAAAGGATGGTAGGAAAGGGATAAAACTTGAGGGCCGAAACTTAGGCCTCCCCTGAGCGACCTTCCACTTCGAGACCGGTCTCCGACATTTTTCACCTCTGGGCACCCCCAAACATGAAGGTCTAGAACCGCCTATGACTTCGGTAATGGACCACTAGACAAGGCAGGGCGGCAAAATTTCATGAAAAATAAAATCTTGAAATTTCTGGCGAAATATCTCATGAAATATCAGAAATTTATGTAAGATATTGAAAAATACAGATTTCTTTTTATGTTTCGCGAAATGTAAAAATTGTGACTTTTAGGGCTGGATTTACTTACTTGCCGCCCCCTTCTCACTCGTTTTGTAACATCAATAAAAGCCATCAAGTAAACGTGCCGGAGGGGGAGAGGCGTATAAGACGCGTTTACTCGTGTTAGTCACATTTCTTTTGAAAGCCCTGTCAACACTACTAGCAAAAGTTCACGGAACTTGGCGCGAAAGTTAAGTTCCGTAAACCTATCTCTGTATGGACAAGGCCCTCCATTTGGACCACATTTTGCAATAAGGAACCACAATTTCTGGCTCATTTTAGAAACAACATAAATGCCGTTGGTTTCCCTATGCAGAAAGGTGCTTTTATGGAAGAGCCAGAGAAAGTGGTTCCTTATTGCAAAATGTAATCCATTTATAAGAAATGAACCAAAAAATTATGAAAGAACAAACATAAATGTGGTTTAATAATTTTAAGTTCCGCCGCCGCGCCGCGCTGACCGCACCGTATTTGGCGCAATGCGTGTAGTATTCCTACAGTCTTACATGCGCTATGCGTTTCGGGCCGGCCGCTGCTGCACGCACTGTGTTTGACGCAATGCGTGAAGTATTCATGCAGTCTTGTAGGCGCTATGCGTTTCACGCTGACCGCAGCGACCGCACTGTCTTTGGCGCAATGCGTGAAGTATTCATGCAGTCTTGTAGGCGCTAATATGTGTTACATGCCGACCGCCGCGCCGAGGGTTTCTCCTTTTCATCTCATGTTCTCGTCATCATTGCTCACTGCGCCGCGCCGTTCCAGGCCAAATTTCGTGTTCGGTTTCTCTCTTAGTCTTAACTCGACTAATTAAAGGTGCTGTCTATTGTATCACCGAAGGACGACAAAATTAGAGATATACTCTCAGGAAATGAGCAATTTTGTCACCTTTTCTCGTTCGTAATTTTTTTGTTTGAATCTGATTTTTTTTTATGTTTAAAAAAATTGCAAAATTTGCCGCCCCCTAAATTTGCCGCCATGGGCCGCGGCCCATGTGGCCACCGCACCCCCTTAATCCGGCCCTGGTGACTTTCTTCTATTCTTGTGTGTTTGAGTGCAGGTTGCATACTCTAGCCCCTGAAAAATATATAATATTTCACAGCCTCGTGAAATTTCATGAAATACTTCACTGAAATTTCCAATCTTTCATTTCTATTTTACGTTTCATGCCATCCTAGACAAGGCATGAATTTAAGCAATGAATGAGGATAAGTTTCGTTGATTAAGGTGGTGCTCCAGCTTTTTGAAGAGCAATTTAATAGTTGATCAATCAATTGATAATTTCTAGATTTAGGAAATTTCTCAAGAATTTCAGAACTTTCAGTGCTTCTTTTATATCAGGCTGTATCGTAGTGCATCAAGTATTTGCGCACAAAATTTGACCAAGAAACCTTTGAAATAATTCTGAAATGTCTAATGCCACAAATCAAAAGGCAGAACAATTTGCGATGTTCACCCGAACTGTATGGTCTTTTGTGTGCAAATAGATAATGCATTACACTGTGATTTGATTCATGGAAGTTCTTAAGGAATGTTTTACAATCCAGAAATCATCAACTGATCGATGGACTATCAAATCGTTCGCCAAAGTGCTGAAGAACCACCTTTACAAATCCAGTGTCAATATTTTGAGTAAATTACATCAATAGATAAACAGCAATATTTGGTGATACAGATGGTTCAAAAAGTCTTATAAAACCCTTACTGCGATCGAAAAAGTAGTTTCCTGAACATCAAGTCAATTTTAGATAAGTTGCAATGAGGTTCATGAGGTGTGATGACGTGTAAGGTTTGGATACATTATATAAAGGATCACTATCTAACTAGATTAACTTCACTATTAGCCTCAGAATAATTTTTTATCAATTCTGATATCGTTGATTTTGAAAATATTCACGTTTCTCTCGTTCTTGGTAAACCAAAAATTTGATTTTTCAACGTGCCTGTAGTCAATCATCTTATTTTTGAACCATTCATTTCCTTCCCATGTGTTGCACTTTTTCAATTGGTAAGATTTTCCTCTATCATAGGATCATCATACCATTCTTGTCCTAATATATTTTAATTTTTCCAGTAGATTGCCAAATGGAGGACCCGGTCACCCAGTTTGGGAGGAGAGAGGATTGGATCATCAGAGAGAGTCACGTGATGAGCGATCAAAAAAACCCAAGGACATAACAGATTTAGGAGATATAGTTCACATTAGGCCGCCATGTAAGTCCATAGCTTTCTATTACTTTTGAATTTTCTAATGACTACCATTATTTCAGAAATCATGGTAATTGTTTGAGATTACTTGTCCTGCAACAGTTAGACGAACTTCAATTGGCTTTTATTTATTCTTAGAGACATAGGTTGTTAGGGATGGAGAGGGAGTCTTGAATACAATTTAGCATTGCAAGGAGTTTGCATCACTGGTAAAAGCTTAAGTCTGAAAGGAATTTGCAAAAATCAAGAGATAATTAAAGAATTTCAAAGGTCAAACCGTATTCACTTAGTTATTCCAGTAGAACAGTAAAGGATAGCATTGGAATTATCGCGTGTGCTTTTGAAGTGTAGAATTTTGTGAGATGGTATGAAAATCCAGGAAATTTTTCCGTTATTTTTGTGACAACTGTATTAAGGAATTTTTTATTGGATAATAGGAGAAACTGCCAGTACGTTAACTCACCAGAAATTATTACCCGTCAAGTGTTAGATAAGTACATACGTAAAATATTTTTCAGAATATAGTCGCAGCGCCTCTTGGGGAATTTTTATAAAATTGTTTTTAAAATGATTCTTTTACATGCATGTACATAGTTATGAACACTCTGTGTCCTTTTTTAAATTGTGTTTAACTTACAGTTCATTTTTAATTGACTTTCCATTTTCAGATCCACAACCCCCTGATGTCACGCATACTGCTCAGTCTCGACGCTACACAACAGGGGCTGACAGAGTCAACCGCTACAATCAAGTATCTAGACAAACCTCTGACGATGGAATGAGTAAGTTTCTCAACAAACTTAAAACTCATTGTAAATTTTGGAAGGTCTTATTTTATTTCTGTATTTTTGGAGAATTTTTTGCCTAGTATTTAATTGATTTTGGATCAAGTGATCTCACAATGACTTTTTCATGGCAAGAAAAATTTTTTCATTTAGAAACATAGTCCAAGGAATTAAAGCGCGTGTAAGCGGTTTCAATCATTAGTTTCAATAAACCAACCTGACTAACCTCCAATGCTTGGCGCACTTGGCTAGACCCTTTCTCTATTAAGACTAATGGTGATAAATGAAGATCTTGAATTAAGTCGGGCAAAAGCACATATCAAGTTGAGAGAAAATTAGCACATTGTCAAAGTCTACATTTCTGCTAACAGTATTTTCAAAGAGCATCTTCTGTTATCGGAAATAGGAACATCAAATGACATAACTGCACCATAATGCGATAGGGAAGTACACCATTCATCAATGCTTTCAAATTCTGTGTGTCTAATGACTACGAGACAAGGTACGAATTCAAGCATTCTTATGTTTGTTTCCTCTTCAAAACATCTCACAGAACATGATTTGCACAGCGAAAATTGTGGAAATCAACTCTTAACCAATATATTTCTATTCACGTTTTTATGTAGCATGGTCATGAAGAATTTAAATTTCCTTCTCACAACAAAAACCAGAGTCTACCTGAATCCAATTGTACGCTACAAAAATGTTGGCAGGTGTCTCAATCATGCAGTGTTCCCTCCCTACCAACAGCTGAGGGAAGACGCCAAAATTAAGATGGTGATATTTCCATACTACAGAGACTGCCATCGCAAGGACTAGCATGCAATGTAACTTAAGTTGATTGATGTTTTTTTTTTTTAAGCGGGGAGTTTGAATTCATGCATAAAAAGTGTTAGTATCTTGGTTAGGAGTTCATTTCAATAATTTTTGTTAGTATCTTGGTTAGGAGTTCATTTCAATAATTTTGGTCGTACAAATTGTGTTCCATGTGAAATTTTGATGAGGAAACACATGTCTAAATGCTTAAATTTGCACCTTGTCTAGTGGTCCACTCAGTAAAGATCAAGAAAGTTTAGAGACACTTTAATGAAATATTTTTTGTGAACAGAGCAGACATCGCATGTAGGTTAATAAAAATCATTTACATTGCATGAAAGAAATTTTATTGATCCTGTTCGTCTTGTACTAGGTACCATGACAAGCACTGGCCGATGGAAAGTTTCGGCGAAAATTCAACAGCTGCTCAACACCCTGAAACGTCCGAAAAGACGTCCGTTACCCGAATTCTATGAAGATGATGACATCGAGCTTGAAATAGCTGCCAACCCCAAGGATCCAAATGCTCCAAAACCAGAGGGCACAACCATGACACCAGCCATTGGAGAGCAATTAGTTGTGAGTAGATTTTATGCACCTTATTCCTTTCGTTGTAAATATTCATGTCGCTGAAATGAAACTGTTCTTAAAAATGAGCCTTCCTATCCAAAAAACAAATTCTAAAGGCTATTGATTCCTTTTCCTTTGAATTATGAAACTCTCATTCTTAAAATTTATGGTGTCTGTATTAGATTGTCAGGGTGTCTACAAGTCAGTAATTTCCGGAAAGTCTGGAAATAATACTGATTTTTTCAGGGCGACCCGGAAGCACTGAAAAAGTGCGGAAATTGTTCAAGAAGGTCTGGAATTTTTGTCTTTTTGTCACAATTTGGGGGAGAAATTCCAATTTTTTAAAGTTTTCGAATCTGTCAAATGAAGGTACTGAAATAGTACCGAATTTTTTTTGTTAAGAAGGTACTGAATTTCTTGAGAATGTACTGAAAAAATTACTGATTTTTGGCTAGACTGTTTTAGTAGACACCCTGGATTGTAGACCCTAGGAGGAACACAAGGAGTAAATCTCTCAGAAAATCTTTCAGTATTCGATCTCTCTCTTGTATATCTTAACCCAGGACAAACTGGGAAGAAAGAAGAAACAAGTACAATATTTGAAATAAGTATTATCCAACTTAAGTTTGAAAGAAAAAATTTTCCTCTTGATTAAACTTTTCAAATAATGTTGATTGTCCCCATTAAACTTTGCCAGGAACCAGTAATGTAATACAAAGTTAATCATTTAGCTAAATTTTGTTTTTAAGACAAAAATTCTGGGAAACAAAATATTATGTTTTCAAATTATCTTTCGTTAACCTATCTTGAACTTGAGATAACAGTATGTATTTTTCAAGCTCCTGAAGGTCTTTTCATGTGCACTGTTAACTTGTAAATTCCGATGTTCTTATTTCTTTGTAGCAATTCTAGTTTCTTTTTGCACATAATGTTTACTTTTTTTTGTAGGTACCGTCTGGGTTACCAAGGAATTTGGAGGCAGCTGTGCAAAGATATGGCTCAGCAACATTCAAAGCTCCCGTTGCAACTGTCTTAGATCCGAACGGCAAGCTCAGCATTACTCTAACTTATGGTGAGTTTGTGAATAATTCAGAATCTTGTTGTAATTACCATAACTTTTGTCTGGGGGAGTTTTCTAACGTAGAAAGGAAATCTATTCAAACACGGAAGCTTTTAAGTGGCGTTTGGAAAAAAATCTTTCGTTTTCACTGGAGAACTCAGCGTATATTTTAATTAGTTTCGTAGGGTTATAATTTTTCGTCCAATCACTCAATTTGCTGTGGTTGAAAGAAAGTTATGTCTCAAAAAAGTCTTCTGAAAAAAAAAACCACTAACTGCAAAGTTTGTAATTTTCATCAAATTTTTTATCGTTCAAAGCTGAAACTTGAATCTTTATCCTGAAAATGACCAAAGTTGGTTCATTTGACATGACATCAGCGTCCAAGTGCTGCTTGATTATTTATTAGAGGATGCTCATAGTCAATTTTATTTCTAATTCTTCTAACCTGTGTGCCCTGGTTTATTTTTTTCAGGTAAACTTTTAAGTCGCTCTCAAAAAGTCGCCTTCACGTTACTAAACAAATTCTTTGGGAAAGGCAATGAGACAAGTCTGAAGGTTGGAGATAGGATAGCACTGGTCTATCCAAACAACGACCCCATTAATTTTTTATGTGCTTTCTATGGCTGTCTCTTTGCAGGCATTGTGCCTGTTCCAATTGAAGTTCCTCTCACTAGACGGGTAAGAATCAGTGACAAGTTAACTTTTTGTGTATCAACTGATTTCAAAGTGTTGGTTTTGAAATCTCACCTAAGCTTTGCATAGGCAGTCATAAAGTCATGTCTTGTAGGATTGAGTAGTGTTGTCGTATATGAAAGTTTCAAAACTACTTTCCTTCATTCCTTTCAGTTGCTGTGTGAATTCTGTATGAAAGAAATGAAGAATACAATGATTATATTGCTATAGCAGAATAATGATGCAGTCAGTATTTGATTTCAAAATAAAAAAGAAGGCTCAACATTTTTTCCCAAGTGTTTGAGTGAATCGTTCATGAGAACAGGTTTTACTACATTTTCGAGAGTGACATATTTCTGAAGATAGAACTCTTAAATTATCAGTCCAAACAATTATCAATTTTTATTTTTTTTTTATTAACTTGTTTTTTTGCCAATGTAACCGTCCTTGCCAGACCAGGAGAATGCGCAAAAAAAAATGGTAAAATTGATAACTCAAAACCATGGTCTTTGTCAATTACTGCATTGCTAATGCTCCCCATTGGTTATGTTGTAACTGATACTCTGCATTTAGTTCCTTGAAGAACCTCCTGACAGTTCTTTTGTGTTAAAAAGTTAAAATTTAAATTGTTGACTCACTTGCACGTTTTTTAATTATTTTTCTGCAGACGCGTTTCGGTCAGTACGGACCATTTTCGATGCTCGATCGCAACTCATCGCATCGAAAATGGTCCGTACTGACCGAAACGCGTCTGCGGAAAAATAATTAAAAAACGTGCAAGTGAGTAAACAATTTAACTTTTAACTTTTTAAGTCATTTTCTTGTGCGGTAAAGCTCCCCTGAAAGTAGTTCTTTTGTGCCATGGAAGTCTGATGCATACCCACCTTTAAAGTGCGGGTCACTCTGAAAACATGACCGTTGTGAGCCAGTGCAAGTAACAAAAAAATGTTCTCATCACTGGTTTTGCAGTGAATGTCTGATGTAATTATTTAAAATGTGTTTTGCTCTTTTTCTCGTCCTAAATGCTTTTTTTATCTTCTATAAATAGAATTTAACTGTAGGAACTCTCGAACATTTCATGCAAATCAATTGATATTATCGCCTATCCATAATTGGAAGCAATACACTGAATCTAATTCTAATTCTGATTTTCCAGGATGCTGGATCTCAACAAATAGGCTTCCTGCTAGGGAGTTGCGGAATCCAAGTGGCGCTTACCTCAGAGGCATGCTTGAAAGGTTTACCAAAGACAGCCACTGGAGAAGTAGTTGGCTTCAAAGGCTGGCCAAAACTCCACTGGTTTGTGACTGAACACCTAACCAAGGTTTCTAAGGACTGGTCTCCAACCCCTCGACTAACAGATGACACTGCAGCTTATATTGAGGTATGTTATTCATGGAGCCATATTTATTCCCATTTGATTGACTTTTTGACGATTTTGAATCTTATTTCAAGCTGGTTTGACGTATTTGAAGCTCACTACTCCAGAAGACATGGAGATTTGCTCCTAACACTAACATATGCCTATTAATGAACCCTTTCATTATTACCCCTGCCAATTCTTGTTTTGTGGTAAGCATTCATTCTAAAATTGAATACTTCAAATATTAAGTAAGTACTTACATCTGAGTAAATGTTCGAATTTTTACCCTCTGATGCGTCGAAAACTGCAAAAATGTTTCTTCACTGACTCAAAATTACTTTCTGGGGCATGCATTGTATGACAGTCCGTAATCAAGTAATGAGAAGGAACAATTTTTATTTTTTATATTTATTATTATTAATGAACATTCTTCTTGAGTTTCTAATCTGAATGAGATTATTTTTTATAATTCTAGTACTCGACTGACAGAGATGGCTCTGTGATGGGTGTTACCGTCACAAGGACGGCCATGTTGAACCACTGTCGTACATTAACCCAAGCTTGTGGTTACACTGAGGGTGAAGTTATGGTCTGTGTGCTTGATTTCAAGCGTGAAACAGGTCTATGGCACTCAGTTCTGACCAGCGTTCTCAATGGCATGCATGTTGTTTTCATTCCGTATGCCCTCATGAAAGTCAACCCTGCTTCCTGGATGCAGATGATCACAAAATACAGAGGTAAGATTTTTCTTTTCTTCATTTCATTGTATGGTATTGTTTCTTTTTAGTATGTTTAAATTCTATAAACTGTGATTGGTATTTGCATGGCAAAAGTCTGAAAATGAGCAACTTTAATTATATTTTATTCTTCTCACTAGAACCAACCAAAGCATCTTTTTGAGTAATTTCTGGAATATTCTGTGAATTCTTTTCATTGAGTGGTGAAAATTCACAGAAAATTCCAGTGAAAACTGTTCAGAAATTATCTGTTAGAAAAATAAAATAGGTGCGGAACCATGCAATGTTCCAATAGGACGTACGAATTTTTTACTTAAGCTATAGATAGCGTAATAAACTTTGCATTGAATCCGATTGTTCGCTCATAGTAATGCTCTCTTTCTCTCTCAGTATCCCTTGCAGGCATTTTTAATGTTACACTGTCTCAAAAGTCAAATCCTGAATCCTTAATACCTGCTTACAAAAGTTTATTTTACACAGATAAAAGATCATGCATACAATTTTGAAGTAAAAATTATTAAAATGCCCACTTAATGATGGAGCTCAGGTATTACCTTAGATGTAATTTTAGCTGGTCAATTGTAATAAAGTATTGGCAAGTAATGAGATTAATCACTGTACCTAGCAAGGAAAATGTGGCCCAATCTGTATGTAACAAAATGGTAAAATAGTGCCGAATCCACAGGTCACCGCACCCAGTCAACACCAAGAAATTAGGCTGTTTGTGGAAAAAAATGAACAGTAGTGCAGACAGCTTAGAGACTGGCTTCTCTCAAACAAATACGGTTTCAAAATAATATCTAAACGGTTGAGCTAAACATTTATTTTGATTTTCCAGCAAGCATCGCTGTAGTGAAGTCACGAGACTTACACTGGGGTTTACTGGCGACCAAGGATCACAAAGATATCAGCCTCTCATCTCTGAGGTTGTTACTAGTTGGAGATGGAGCAAATCCATGGTCACTTTCATCTTGCGATCAGTTCCTCAGCGTCTTTCAACCGAAAGGACTGCGACCTGATGCTGTTTGTCCTTGTGCCAGCTCCTCGGAGTGTCTTACTGTCTCAGTCCGCAGGTATGATGGACATTTTTTCAAAACAATTCTCACATTTCTGTAGTCAGATATTTTAACTTTCTAGTTTATATTTAATGGCAGATTCATAATCCTAAATATCTTTGAGCCTAGCTGAATGGTCTTTTCCTTTTTTTCCAACTAAAGTGTGTATTTCACGGTTTGATGATCGATAGAGATGTCAAATATAGCTACTTCTTTCGATTACTCTTTTACTAACTTTTAATGAAATGCATTTTTATTCTATCAACCCCACAAATTAATTGTTTTAAAATCTTCCAATAAAGCTATTTCACTTTGTCGAAGGTGGATTGTAAGGTATTACAGATAGTAGCAGACAAATGTTGTTTTGATGGTAAATCATTTATTCAGAAAACTTAACTGATGCATTTGTAAACTAAGTATTTATTCCTTGGTGTACGTTTATTACTTTACGATAATTTTTTACCGGAAGCATTGAGTGACGCATTTATTAACTGTAAATTTTCATAAATACTGTGCAATATCTAATCAAGGTATTGTATATTTCAGACCTGGGCGCGGAGGAGTGAATGCTACAGGACGAGGTGTCCTGTCAATGGCAGGCCTTAGCTACGGTGTGGTGCGAGTCGACCAAGAAAACTCGCTCACCTCACTAACACTACAAGACTGCGGTCAAGTCATGCCAGGCTGTAAGTTTAAGAGCAATTTTTTACTACGTGTATTCACCTATGTATCATTTGCTCTGCTTTGTCATAAATTGGGCTTTAAAATGCTACGATTAACCCGTGTACAGATGCTGCTCATGTTCAAGTTTTGATCGTAAATGTCAGTCTACTTTTTTGGCCTTAACCTCTCAATGTTAAATTTTTTAGTAAATTTCAGCCCCAAGAGCCGAATCCAGCAAATTAAGAGTTGATGCAAGTCCTAGAATGCTATGATAAACGGCGACACTGCAGCGTTTTTCTTAACGGGAGAAAACGTCCTTCACTCGGCTATCAGGAATTAAAATTAACTTGATGATAAAAATATTTAAATGTTTGCCTCAAGTCTGTTCAAGGGGGTGGATCTCCCTCGCAATCCGTAAATTCAAAACACCCGTGCACAATGTGCCGCCATCTTTGTTGTATACATGAAAACGTTGACGAACTCGATCCCCGATCACGCACCGCCCCGATGGAGATTCGGGGTTAACTGCCGAATTCCAACGGTTGACCGTCCAAATCGCTAGTCGGAAAGATTAAAGAGAATAGTGTTAGATATTGTTGTTATTCTGCTTAACCTTTTATTATGTTTTCCAGGTGTTATGGTTGTTGTAAAGATTGAGGGTTCATCACATCTTTGCAAGACAGATGAAGTTGGGGAAATCTGCGTCAGTTCTGGTGGAACAGGGAATCAATATTGGGGTCTTCCGGGCCTAAGCAATACAACTTTTAAGGTTCAACCCTTGCTCTCTGACGGTCAGCCTCTAAGTGACCAAGAGTACGTCAGATCAGGTCTTCTTGGCTTCCTTGGACCAGTACGTACCTTTTTTAATGTATTTATTTTGGAACATATCTCATGGATAACAAATTTCTATCAATAAAAATATTTCATGAAAAAAAATCAAGACTTCATGAATAAAAAGTACAAGAAATGCCAAAAAAAAAGAGTCATTAAATACACCACAGGTTTTCCTTCAAAGTTTACTTTCAAAATTCCAGCTCATAAATGTAATGTTCTCTCTCCTAATTGCTCAAATCATCGCTTCATCAGTTATCTTTCTGATTCAGTCAGATCATAGAAATGTTTGCTACCATTTTATAGACAAAAAACACTCTTTTGAAATCTCTCTGAAAATCAATTTATGATAGAAGTTTGTTGAAAGTTAATAATAACTTGACTACTTTTTTTTTCACAGGGTGGCTTAGTTTTTGTTTGTGGTTCTCGTGACGGTCTGATGACAGTGACCGGCAGAAAACATAATGCAGACGATATCATTGCCACCGTCTTAGCAGTTGAACCTATGAAATTTATCTACCGTGGGCGAATAGCTGTATTCAGCATACGTGTTCTTCGTGATGAGCGGATATGTGTCATTGCAGAGCAGAGGCCCGACTGCAGCGAAGAAGAGGTATTGATTGAATAAATGCATGCTGTTGTCTACAGCAAAATTTATTATTTTACATTCGATTCGATTTCCATAGGATTCAAACTTTCTTAAGACTTCAAAACATGTATTTATAAGGAAGTTTAATAATGAAAAAAGCGGAGGGTAAGGATCTAGGAGAGAAAAGAGAGGACAAGTAAAGTGTAAATTATGTGTTTCTAATCTTCAATCCCCCTTGAATCTAAAATTTAACCATAGTCCAAAAGATGGATAACTCTTGTATGACAATAATTTAATGACAAAATACGTTTGCAGAGAAAATTAAATTATCATCACAGATGAGTTTTATGTCTGTCTAACCTTTGTTAAATTTTAAATCAAAATACTTGTGCGGAAAGTTGCTCCCAACATTCTAATCGAATCCTCATTGAGTTGAAAGGTAAAGAAAATACGGATCGTAAATTATCGTTAAATTGACTTTTCTATCATCAATCTTGTCACACTGTATGGTAAATGCATGGAAAGTTTTCCTCCCTAAATATTGATGTTGCGTAGAATTAGTGCACAATGTTGGGAATATTTTTCCTAAAAAATGCTCTCAATTCTCAAATGCTCTCTACTCCAGAAAGGTCTAATGGACAAAAATGTTCAAGGGGACAATCTTTTGACTCTTCGGCGTATCTCTTTTATTCCATCTTTTCCTTTCTAAGACAGAATTCTGATTCTTTCATTGCCGTGTCCTATTTTTGTTTTAAAATGAGTCTTTTCTGAGGGGCGATTATTGAAAATTTGTAACAGAACGATAAGACATCGAAATAAGTTATAGTGCATACTTAAGATAGGGCTATGTCCTATATCGTTGTGTTGACAATGTTTCAATTAACAAGCCGCAGGCTCCCCACACTGATTAATGAGCTTTTTGTGGAAGGTTTTGATAGACTCTTCATAGCAAGCTTCCGATTATATCCTCTAGTATTGTAAAGTTTCTGATCAGTGATGAAAGATTGTTGGTAAATCCGACTGAATTAAGCAACATCTGATTCTTTTAACCTATGATTCTGGTCTGTTTTCTCTCAGAGTTTTCAATGGATGTCTCGAGTGCTCCAAGCAGTCGACTCCATTCATCAAGTTGGACTCTACTGTCTGGCCTTAGTCCCTCCGAACCACTTACCAAAAACACCACTGGGCGGTATACACCTCTCTGAGTGCAAGCGGAGGTTTTTGGAAGGAACGCTCCACCCTGCAAATGTTCTGTTGTGCCCTCACACTTGTGTTACCAATTTGCCCAAACCCAGGGAGGTCCACTCAGGTAATTTGCAATTAATTGATTTTAGTCTTATCGAAGAAAAGTTAAAAGTATAAAAGAAATGATATTCTTTTCACTTGAAGAACTTTAAGGATAAAAACATTATGAAATAATATAAGTTAGGATAAAGTAATTATGAACAGGAAAAAATGTCGGAAATTTTCAAGGGAGGGTGGGGGGAGGTGATCTTTCAGTTGGTGCAGATCTTTCACCTCTTATGTCTGTGTCTGTGATTGCACTTACAGAGACTTATTGAAATTGCAAAGTAAAATTTAAAAATCAAAGGTCCAAAAAGTTAAAATGCATTTTGCTCTATTTATATTTTCTAGGGGCACATTTGCACTAAAGAAGTCTGATTTTTATGGATATCCTTGTAGATGAATTCCTTTTGCATAAATTTGTCCGGGCTGTTTGTGGCCAAGAATTTCATGTCAAATATTGAAATTTTCATGAATTAGATGAGTCACAATTGAAGAAAATTGATAGTCTTTAATGATAATTATTCAATACCATAAACACAGTCCAACTATCTAGTCCCCTTAAATTCTTCGAAAATGGACATGTAATAGATTAAAAGACATTTTGCCAAATTCAAACAGCTTTATTAGAAACTTTTTCAGCTATTTTCCACATCATCAATTTTTAAGCTGAAACAGTCGAGTTCAATTTCTACTTACCTTTTAATATAAGTTTTCTGTCGAATTTTCATTTTTGTTTCCTCTTCCCATTCCTTTTGAGTTGAAATGACTTTTTTTGCTCAGTTTTAAAATCATATCTTATATTCAACGAGAGAAAGAGAGAACTTGGTTGATTTTTTAGACAAAGTCAATAAAAATTAGTTGTCATTTTGTAGTAAACTCTAGAACTTTGACTGAAGTCGAAAAATGCGTATTACTCATCGGTATGGTGTAAGTTTCTGCTCATGTTTTACTTTTCAAAGAAAAACTAATCAACAATTTCTTTTGAAATTTTCTGTGAATTTTTTTTCTTTATCCTAAGAAAATCACACAAAAGTGAAAAGAAACATTTTGTCTAGCTTTCCGTGAAGAACATCCAATCCAATCTGAGATTTTCAAGTATTGAAATTAAGATACGCATTTTTTGCATTCATCTATTGTCCCTTCATCCAGTATTTTGCAATGATAATGAAACTGAGTGAAGTAAAATGCCTTTTGATTGTGACTTTTGTTGGGTGTAAATTCGAAACGAAATTGAGCTCCTGAGCGAATTGATCCTCCGAATCGATCTTGAGCTTTGTGTAAAGTTTGGTGAAGAATTTTACACCCTACAAGGTTCAATCTAGAGCTTGATCCCTAAAAATTCCTCGGGTTTTGGTTTATCCGGGCTGTATGGAAGGCATGATGGTCAGTGGGTGGTAATGTTGCAGACATAGGTCCTGCCTCAGTCATGGTTGGCAACATTGTTCAAGGCAATCGACTGGCAGCAGCTCAAGGCAGAGATATGGGCATGTCGGACGAAGATTCAGATGCTAGTCGCAAGGTAATTTATTTCTAATATATTCAAATGATTTTTACTTTCTGTTAATATATCCATACATAAGATAATGCTAGTACAACAGTTCTGGAAACTTCAAATAATATATTTTGTTTTTATCTGAAGTCAGAGTCACGCCTCAATAATGGCTACAAGAAAGCAAGTTTTGGAAGCTTTTCATCTTATCAAAGCTGGTAAATTATAAGTTTTTTAGGTCAGTTGCGGTCAAGAAACTCTTTTCTCTTTAAATTAGCCTAGATTATTTGTAATTTACAAAAACACTTTTAACTGGTTTTCATGGAACTGATGGCAAATGGCACATACGGCTATCATCCGTCTCAATATTTTCATTCATGCATTCAGATGTTGCAGTTTTAGAAGAATTCAATAATATTTGTTGATAAAACTTGTCAACTTTCTTCGGAAAGTCACATTTATCAATAGATACTTATTGTTTTGTATTCTCTCTGTTCTAGTATCAATTCATATCCGAAATTCTGAAATGGCGAGCACAGAGTACGTCAGATCATGTGATATTCACTCTTTTAAACGCTAAAGGTGCTACTGCAGCCACTCTCTCCTGCTCTCAGCTTCATAAACGAGCAGAACGCGTTGGATCACTGCTCTTAGAACGTGCAAAAATCAACACTGGTGATCATGTAGCGCTCATCTTCCCACCAGGCATCGATCTCATTTGTGCATTTTATGGTTGTTTATATGTTGGTATGTTGCTCATTTATTACTTCTCCAAAGTTTTGGATCTGCAATATTTATTATTCTCTTTTATCCTTTTTTACATAATTGTATATATTTCCTCAAAATTGTCCTCAAAATGCAATTTCTTCTCATCTAAAATTATTCAGAAAAAGCCCTGTGAATGCAAAATGTAATTTTTATCTTCATTGAATCCATTATGTGTTCTATGAAGTTGATGTTTTGTGCGAGGTGCATTGCTGTTTAGTATTTTGCTTCCCAATGGTATAAAATCTTAGTTGTGGCATTAGAAGTGTGCCATCCTTCCCATGTAAGACTCGTACTTTTAGCTGTTTGCAACAGTTTGAAGTTGCAAAACCCTTTTACTGAAGTCTCTAGCATTGCCTTCCCTTTAAAAATAATTCTGGAGCTTCAATTTGCAGCATCAAAGATATTTATTGACGTTTTAGGTATTTGCATAGACTATCGGAGATCTGACTCGGCTAATATGATTGATTCATTTTAATTTTAAAAAACAAGAAACGTTTACTTCGTAAGGTGGTGAATTTTTTTTTATAGACTACTAATTCTTAGGTCTAATTCGAGTTTATTTCAAATTTTTACGTTTCTTTACTTAGCAGTTTATTAAAAATACCATTGTAAGTTTCAAATTTAGCCTTTTTTCCAACCACATTTATTGCTAATTTTTCATTAATGAAGTTGGCTATTCCAGTACATTTTATTGTTTAATTTATCAGTTAACTCTTGTTTTGAATCATTTCAATTATACATTTTATTGAAGGGAAATATGCTTGTGTTTTGCAGGTGCTGTACCTGTGACCATTAGACCACCGCATCCGCAGAATCTACAAACCACGTTGCCTACCGTTAGAATGATCGTAGATGTTAGCAAATCTGTTTTAGTTCTATCAAATATGAGTGTAATCAAATTAATGCGATCAAAGGTAATTTTTCAGTCATAGCTCCAGTAACACTGTGCGCTCACTTTCTAATTTTAATCTTTGGTTCAACACTTCCCTCACATTCTTAAGTTACACCATTCTTTACACTCATAGCTATAATGTATTAAAACTTGTGTCGCGATAGAGTCTAAACACCTGGAGAGTTTTGGGCACTATGTCACATATGAAGCTAGGCACTTATGAAAAGGATGATTTTTAACAGAAACTTGTCAGTGGTTAAAATTTTATTTGTGGGAGAGCCAGGAGAGCATTGAAAAGTGTGCGATTTATCTCCTGGCTGGAATGTTGAACTGAAGTTAATTTCTTTGTTACGTGACCCGCAGGCATTGAGAAAGATTGGAGATTTTTAGATTGTATTGTACCAACCACCCGATGCACAGATAAACGAAAGCATGAAATAAATGAGATGGTGTGTCTGATTGTATGCAAGCATTAGCTTAAGGCCTAGAATGCTTGGCTTGTTGAAACTAAGAAAGAGCCAGAAGAAATGCGAGGGAAAGAAATAGACATAAAATCCATCTTGGGGACAATTTGGAAGACAGGAGTTGCGTAACACACGACAAGTTGCAAATGATCATTGATTCTCTTCAAAGAGGAGATTGTAGGTTAAGGATAGCCTGTGTTATAATTGTGCTTACATAGTTAAATGGGTCTGAGTTTGGGTTGTGATGTGCCTCTCTTCACTGCCAATTTTCCAATATACCCCCAAAATTTCTGCTAAAATTTTACTAGAATTTCCAGAGTTTCCGGGAAAAGGAAAGAAAGATAGGAAAATAAATAAGAATAATTACATTTTAAACTGTTTCTGTAGTTGGTCACTGTGCCTTATTTCCTCCATGATCAGATTACAAGATCAGGAATTCTTTACACCCTCTGAAACGCTGCAATATCAAGTGGAAGTAAACGTAACATGCTTTACACAATAATTTTGTGGCCTCGCAGTCATCTCTGATTTCTAAAGGAGTACATCTTTCTAGGGGTACATTTTTTATTCTATATTTCCCAATTGTTTTTGAGCAGAAGAATTAGCTCAGAAATAAATTTACAAACAATTTCGAACTGCCAGAATTTGAATCTATTCTTTTAATGCAGTGCATCTTATCCAACGCCATCTTTCCGATTTTCTGGTTCCTCATAAATTGTTTGTATTTTAATTACAGGAAGCCAGTAGTTTTGTGGATGTCAAATCGTGGCCTCCAATTTTAGATACAGATGATATGCCCAAGAAGAAACTTACCGCCATGTACAGAGCTCCAACCGCGGAAATGCTTGCCTATCTTGATTTTAGGTACACAAACGACTTTTCTTTTCATGATAATGCTACTCTCTTGAGCTCTGAAATTATTCCTGAATGGATTTCAGGATTGATGTTCGAATCTTAGGCCACTCCTAATTTAAAATTTTGTATACCTTATTCCTCAAATTTTTTTTTTCTCAATTTTGACGTGTCACTTACTGCATTTGTCGTTTTAACTGGAAAATAATTGGATCACATTCAGCAGAAGGGAACCAGTGCGTTTTTACAGTGTTGTCAAAACCGTTGATCTCCAATTTGTTTGAATAAAAAATTCACCACAAATTCAATCTCCTTTGAATTTTTGGTGGATACTTGTTTTGAATTAAAGTTCCCTGCAAGTAAAACATTTTTGCACAATTTTTCGAGCAACTTCGCAGTTGCCACAGTGTAGCCTTTTCTGAAATCCATGTATTTTGCGGGAGGAGTATCTAATGTTATTAATCATAAACTGCTATCCGATTTTTTTCAGTGTATCAACAACCGGCATGTTAGCTGGCATTAAAATGTCGCATGCTGCTGTAACATCGTTGTGCCGAGCAATGAAGCTGGCTTGCGAGCTGTATCCCTCACGCCACATCTCCCTTTGTCTAGACCCGTATTGCGGCCTAGGCTTCGCACTCTGGTGCCTCTCAAGTGTTTATTCTGGTCATCACTCCATCCTCATTCCACCCTCGGAGGTTGAGGTCAACCCTGCTCTTTGGCTCTCGGCTGTTAGTCAATACCGAGTGCGAGACACATTCTGCTCTTATGGTGAGTACCATTCTTCTCCTGAATAAATTTTCTGACAACACTTAAATTAGAAGTTGAGCCCTATTCTGTGACTGCTCTTAAGTATAAAATTGAATATTCGTATCCCAATTGAATGATTATGGAACAAACTTTTTATGGAGAATTTTGGACTTGGTTGAGTACCATTTTCATGATTTATTTCTCATCAATCAGTCATGGAAGCGCCTGAAAGTTGTTATCCTATTTGTGGAAAAGGCACTGTTACTGAAGAATTTTGTATTACAGATATCTCATGATTTTTTTCTTTCTTTTCCTATTACTCTTTTTATTTTTGGTAGGTTGAATTTATGAGTTGCTATTTTAAAGGAAAAAAAAATTGATGTCAATCCTATGATATATTTTATCACTGATTTTTTGGAAGACCTAAGTATTCGATTTAGTTATAATTTATCCATTTCTAACTTTTTGATCTCCTGATATATTTATTTTTTTGTGTAATCAGGTGTTATGGAACTGTGCACGAAAGGGCTTGGCTCTTCAGTAGGACAGTTGAAATCACGAGGAATCAGCTTATCTTGCGTGCGAACGTGCGTTGTTGTAGCTGAAGAGCGACCACGCATTGGTTTAACCACTAGTTTCTCTAAATTATTCTCTGCACTGGGGCTTAGCCCTCGAGCAGTTTCCACATCCTTCGGCTGCAGGGTTAACATTGCCCTATGTCTTCAGGTAAGTGTGTTTTCTTTCACCTTGGAAAAAATAATTTGCTAAAAGCAATTAACATTCTAAACTGGAAAATGGAATTAGCTAAAAAGGGTTTTATATCATTAATATTATCATAATTTATCAGTTACTAAAGAAATCTCTTTAACAGGCTGAATATTTAAAGAGCTTAGCCTAAGGGGATGAATTATCCATCCGAACTATCAGCAGATTAAACAGGGAAATATGAGCAGTTTTCATTAAAGTCAGCCATGTTCATGATTTTGAAAATACTACCAGTGCAATGAGCTGCCATGAAAATATTCTCAACTGTCAATTATAGCACTATTTGTGGGAACTGGTATGGCCATCACTGAGTATGTCATCTAGTTTTTCATAATTGACACTTATCAACAGATGTTCTGTATTTTTGCATTCTTCAACTTTTTGATCAACTTTGAATGGAGTGATCATCAGAGTTAAGGAGTAGATAACAATGTATACTACACTCTCAAATATCCAGGTCAATTTGGCAGGTGCCTTATAAAAGCGTAATTTGGCCCTATCATCGATCAGAGCAAGCTGATTTTAGACTAGTGAGCATTAATTTTGGTTAAAATTTTCTGTTATTTCTGGAATTCGTTCACGATTTAGATACAGAAGATAAAAAAAGCGTATTTTCATGTAATATGCTTTGATTAATTTATTTTTGTATCCAGATTCCTCCTTAATTTGAATCTGTCCAGTTTCAATTGTTACAAAGAATTAGGTACTTATTGTAATTGTGAGACGTTTGATAGGAAAAATACATTCAACTATGAGACCATGAGAAATTTCCTCAGACAGACTGCCTTTATTGAGAGCGTACAAAGTGCGTTGACATATTTATAGAATATTCTACCTGTGTAGGAAAATCGATTGTAGATATGGTGTCTTGAAATAAACGAAAAGAGCTGGTGATGAATGGTGCTTAGGTATTATTGATGAAATTGTCATTCTGAATGTAATGTTTTTCCTTCTCTTTTTCTTTCAGGGTGCATCTAGTCCTGAACCTTCTTGTGTATATGTTGATTTACGTGCATTGCGGAATGATCGTGTTTCACTGGTTGAGCGAGGCAGTCCTCACTCTCTTTGCTTACTTGAATCTGGAAAACTTCTACCTGGCGTCAAAGTCATTATCGCCAATCCTGAAACAAAAGGACAGTGTGGAGACTCTCATTTAGGAGAGGTAAAATATTTCACCTTTGTATTTTAGATTTTTTTATTTATTTTTTCACGGAAAAACTAATTGTGGTAGAAATTTTTGATTTTACTTTGGCTTCATGAGTGCTATCATTTTTCCCAGTTACCTCAATAATTGGTTCTCTTTCATTGCTCACTAAATCATTCATTTAATTTATTGCGCTAGACTCATTATTGTAGAATCAGGCTAAAATGGAAGTAACAGAAATTTCATGTATTCTGAGACTTTCAGCCTGCTTCGATGCATTTCAATTAATTTGATGGTGGTTGGTGTTATTTATCAACACCTGTATAAGCAGCGTGACTAACTTACATTAATATCTAAAAGTAGTTTTTTGCTTTATTGTAATGTGGTCATGAAATCTTCATTTCCTCAATTTTATGAGAACTAGGGGGCTATGCCCCCTGGCAGCTTTGCGATCTAACCCACTGAAGCACTTCAGCACCTCAGCACCTCAGGCGGTATGTGTTACACGTTACTCTTATGATTGTATCTTAATAGAGAATGATTTGACTCATCATACTATTTTTACAGAAAAAATATATTTAATAAAATATTTTTACAGAAATTTTTACAGCCGTATGGGGGACAGTACTGTCACAGGTTTAGCAATCCTGCGTACCCCAGCTGGTAGCCCCTGCCTCAAAGGGGGTGGGTAGACAGGGCTCTTAGCTGTGGTGGGAGCAACCTGTCCAGGAGAGGTAACTCCGAAATCAAACCCTGGTCCTCCAGGTTGGGGGATTGGGGCATCGGGCTGACTCCCCGATCCTCGGAAAAAATGTACAATGTCAAAAAACCCAAAAACATATGCCTCGGTAACCATGGAAACAAACGGATTCTTCGACTTAGATTACGGAAAAAGACACTCGCTTTTGGTACTTGGAATGTGCAAGGCATTTCCAAGAAACTGACGGAAGTGGTATCAGAGATAAAGAACCCCCATCAAGATCACCCATCCTTCAGAAGCATTCTGCTATTTATATTAAGGGTTGATTCATCAAAGGAATCTCATTCGTACTTACTAAAGTTTGTGTTCCTCATTTCCAGATCTGGGTTCAGTCCCCTCACAATGCCAGTGGTTACTTTTCAATCTACGGTGAAGACGGTGAGTGCAATGAACATTTCAACGCCCGGCTAGTGACAGGCAACACTGGAGAGGTCTACGCTCGAACAGGCTACCTTGGTTTCTTACGCAGAACAGAACCTCAAGCAATTACGAGTGTCACACACAGCGAAGTTACAAACTTATCTGCTTCTGATCTTTCTCTGGCCTCTCAGCCAATACAACCTCCTGACTCAGCTGGTAAGTTAAGCAGTAGAAGTTGGTCACTAAGTATAATACCAACTAGTAAACAACCAGATAAATTGTTTGCCAACATATTCCATGTCCAGCCGGCCTTACTGACCATTCTTTAGGTGTAAGCCAAGAGCCAGAACAGTCATAGTTGCACAGAAAAGGAAATTAACCTGCGTAATATTTGACCCATTTTTAAAGCTTGGTTATATTATGTTAGCATGGTTATATTAATCGGTTATCATTTTTTGGTCTTTCTTTAGAATTACATGATGCAGTGTTTGTGGTGGGTGCGCTCGATGAAACCATTATGTTAAGAGGCATGCGGTACCATCCGATAGATATTGAAAATAGTGTCATGAGATGTCATAAGAAAATTGCTGAATGGTGAGTATTTCATGTTCTTATTAGCTCCTTTTTATACTTTTAGATTGACTCATCGCATCGCAGTATTTAGAAGTCAATGGTTAAAACATTTGGGAAAAAAGCAATAACTAAAATTGAATCGCTGGCTGGTATGCTAATCTGGTCAACATAGCTAATGTGGTCTTGATTAGAGACCAGACAGTTTGGAGTTGAATCATCTCCAGTTTGCACATTGTCTCAGGTTTTTAAGATTATCCTCCAATTTGAGAAAAATTGTCTTATCGTACTTAAAAATCCTTGAATTTTCTATCCTTTTGGACCTAATGCAGGAATATCATAAAAATCGTCACGGCTAAATTTTGGTATTTATTTTTATGATGTCCTTTACGGCCTGTTGAGCAGGATGAGCTTTTAAAATCCAACTTTTTATGGATCCAAGATAATGAGAGGAAGGCTGAAAAGTGAATTTTTCAGTTCCCTTAGATTAGTGAATTTTCTAATATAGATGAGGAGCTTTTGCTGTATCTGTGTGGACGCTGCTATCACTCAGAGGAATTTGATCCATGTCGTCTGTCTTATATTCTCAGCTTGTAAGGAAACAAAATTTCTGCAATTAGATCACCAATCAGTTCTTGCAACATTTCAACTAGATAGTGTGTGTATAAATGTCAAGAAATTCACTCTTCAGCAGTGCTTCTTACAAAATTGGCATAAAAAGTTGGATATTAGAAGCACATTGTGCTTAGTGAGGAACATCATATGAAATAATCTTTTTTTTTTCTTTCTTGTCAAGAACCTTGTTTTTCTATCAGCTGACATTTTTTTGTAATATGCGTAGCAAATGTATCATTATTATAGAGTGCAGCTTTATTCTTGCGTACAAATACAGGGTGGCCATAATTTATTTCTTTGATTCCATCCATTCATTAAAATAGTTTAAAGCTCTAATTCTGATGCTTGTAGATGGTAAAAGTGTTTGGAGTCACATTTTAATGTAACTTGATTGTATTTTCAGTGCTGTGTTCACGTGGACAAACTTGCTTGTGGTAGTCGTCGAGTTGGATGGCAACGAAAGTGAAGCCCTAGACCTTGTTCCGCTAGTCACAAACATTGTTTTGGAGGAGCATCATCTCATCGTTGGAGTAGCAGTCGTTGTTGACCCTGGAGTGGTACCAATCAACTCTCGAGGAGAAAAACAGCGCATGCACCTGCGAGATGGTTTCCTAGCGGACCAACTAGATCCAATCTACGTCGCATACAACATGTAAAATTTGCCTCTCATATATAGTAGAAGGTCTTAGTTAACACAAATCACAGAACGTGTTGCAAAAAGCAGAAACGCTTAATTTTTTGAAGCTTTGAAAATATATTAAAACTCAATCACAAGCAAAATGCATGGCAGTTTTGATGTTTAATGCTATATTCTACTTGTCTGAAGAAAGTGCAACTTGGTTGTACTTATCATTCAAATAGGACTTGAATATATCACGGTTTAAGTTGTCACGGTATAATCAACAAATAGTTGTCATTCAGAGAATTTAAATTTCAAAAACGCTGTTGGTGGGAGGCAACTCTAAAAGGTAAAGGAACCAAATTAAAGAGGAGTTTCATTTGTTAAAATCAGAAATATTCTCACTGGCTGTTGGTTGGGTCTTTTGTTCTTTTCGCGAAAAATAGAAAATGAGCAAACTCGGTTGTTGATTCTCATGGCTATTTTCATCGCCTTGTAGTAACATTACCTTTTATCTGTGAGTGACTAAAGAAACCATGTCTTCTGTTTTAAATTAAAAACTCGATTTGCTCTTTTGGCTCCTCTATTCCAAAACATTACTTTTAAAGATGACTTGGTCTTTATTTTTGACTGTCAGAGGTGAAATTATGTTGATGTTATTCTGTGTCAGTCAAGTCTGATCTGTTTATCTCTTCTTTCTCTTTTTGTTATTGTTTTATACTGACTGTGCTCATAGCTCATAGTGTTGTTCACCAGTAATTTGTTTGTACTTTGTACTTTGTAATTATGATTTTTGTTGTTTTTAAAATTTGACTCGACAAGGGTTTGATCGCTTGTTGGATGTATTTCCTGCAATTTTACTTACGTGACTTGTATTGCAGTTATTTTGTAGATATGACAAAAGAATCATCAAAAATTGATGTTTTCTCAGTCAATGATGATGAATCAAACTTATCTAAGACCATGCCTGTGGTGTCTCAACAATGGTTAAATGCTTGTTTTTATTTTTAATGTTTCAACAAAATCTTTCGACTGATATGTTTGGGCAAACACATGTTTTCCTATATTCTTAAATGCTTTTGCCATCATTTAGGTATCGTTTTAGTGTTAATTTTTTTCAATTGGAGAGGAGTTCATGTAGATGACCGTAACATGCTTTTGACCATCAACAACTGATTTTTTTTTCCCACATAATCTTTTGTGCTAAGACTGCGCAAAGTTTTCTGCTTTGAGTTTTTGATTTTGTTATTCTTAAATATTTTACTTTTATCAGAGTGATATCGGAATCTAGTTCTGAGTTAATATGAGAGATCTCTAGGGAAGATGTTGTCAATAATTATGAGTATAATTCTCTTATCTTTTCCATTTGGCGGAAGGTCTGACTTCTGTACATTTAATCAGAACTTCGAATCTTTACTCAAGAATTTTCAAGCCATTTACTCATCATTCTGGTAAGCATCACATAAAAACTGAAAAGCAAGTAATTTTTCCCTCCTCGAAACTTCTTCGTGGTTCACCTAATTTATTAGTTTATTTTGCATCACTTTGTATATAGATTTCAATCTCTCAATTGTCCAAGCAATTATTTTGTGAGAAGAAATAAATGAAAAGTCGCATAGTAACAGCTTGTTACATATGTTAATAGCGTTTTTTAAAAATGATAGCGCAGATTGTTTCAAACATAACTTTGGCTTTGCCTACCTAGGTTTCCTTGTACCTAACTGTGGCCATATTATTATCCATCGAAATTTAGTAAGAGTTTGCCAGTGTGAACGGAGCCCAATGGCTGGCATGGGCAGTAGAGTTCAATTACTTTAATACCGAATTTATGCTTTCATTGTTGGAGGTTTGCTCTTTGCCATTTTTCATGGTCTTTTGTAGTTGACAAGCAATGTGGAAAGTTTGAACCATTTTGTAGATTTTTTTCCTTGACGTAACATTTTTTAAATTGTTTCAAAGACATGGTAATTGTTTTGTCGTTACAAGTAGAGGTTAGGTTAGGCAATGTTGTAGAGTGGGTAAAATCAATGTCTTTTTTTTGTCCTGATGCTCCTTTTTTCTTGCAGAGTATGAGTTTTTGCTGGTTTTACCATCAGCTCAAATTACTCCGTCTCCCTGACGTTTTGTGTGTCCATCCACAAATATTTTGAGAATTTTGCTCAAGTGAATTTAAAAACTCACGACCATTTGCAGCCAATGAACCTTCGCCAAACTTTGAATTAAGTCCATCTCATGTGCTATACTTTATTTCATCGCTTGAAGTTCATTTTAATTTGCGTGCAATTTTTCCCCCCTCATTACGCGAGGTCCATAATCCTGATGAAGGCCGAGCTTGACATGTACCTTATTTTACGTACAACAATCAATTAGTGCCGAATTTCTTAAGGTTGTAAAAGTCATTGCCATGTTTGTGAAATGCAACATTTATCAAATTAATCAGTTACCATTCTGCATATTGAAGGGGGAAAAATAAGACAGCAAAGGCAGAAAAAATAATGCAGGATCATCGTGCTGCTTTAAGAAACTAATGACGCAGACTTTTTGCAACCTGCTTTGTCAGAACTTAGTGCAATATCGACGAGTCCAAGTGTTTCCTATAAGTTTGTATCGTACCCATTTACTTTTAATATTCATACTTTTTTTTTTTTCATTATTGTAAAGGTAATTTTTTACGCTTTTGTGTAAAAATCACAAAATCCAATGAAATTTTATTCACTTGCATAAAACCTTTTAAGGATAACTCAGAAATTTAACAAGGAAGGAAAAAGAGACTATAATAAAATTTTGAACAAAATTATTGTTACTTTGTAGTGGTCTCAGTAATATTAATTTTGAATTCGTATGCCTTTTTATCAGCAGATATTTTTTTCTGTACAGGATTATTTTGTAGTTAGAACACAATTGTATTTTGGCATATATGTTACCTACCAAGTGTGTGCTTTTATGTATATGTGTGTAAAGTAATCCATGTTTTATCAATGAATGTTGGTGTACTTTTTTCACATCTATGTGGAAGTATCAGATCCCCCATTTAAGTCTAAAAACAAGATGATGTGTTTTCTCCTCTATTTTCCTTCCTTTTATTCTATGTTATTCACAAACCCTAAGTGCATAAAATGAAATGATGGAACTTCATTCAACAGTGGTAGATAATAGAGACTGCTGTTTTTTTATCCGTTCGTTCTTCTTTTTTCAATCAAGTAAAACATTTTCCTGAAGACAGTCATTTATTAAGAGGACATATCCAGTCATAATTCTAATACCGTAATATGAGGATGTAGACAATAATTGATGTAACACTATTTTATGTAACCATTGTTTGATAACAAGTAAGATAAATGGTGATTCATGAGACTCCTCCAGAAAATTCCTTTTTCAGTTCTTCCCCCCTAGATTTATCTACCCGTGTATCTTCTGTTGATTCTGTTTACCATTCCAACTGACAGATATATTTGAGAATATCCTCATCATGAGAAGTTAACATAAAAATTATTTTTAGGATATTGAGGCAATTCCAATGTGAAAGTCGCTGCAGAAGTGGAAGCAATATCCGAAACGTAGAATTTATAAAGTCAGGCCTTCGCATTTCTGTAGGAACATTTTAATAAGTAGCTGTTGAATATCAAACTTTGAAGTTAATTAGATTTTCAGTAGATAACTACCAGGTAAAAGTGAAATAACTGTAATCTTTTCGTTTTCCTTTACAAAGTATCTAAGAAGTTAAAATTGTCATCATTCTTTTTAAAAACAGAATGAAAAATTAAAGCAAAAATCAGCTCAACATCATTATACTTAAAATTTAGTAAATCATTTAGCACTAACTATAAGTTTGCCATTAGAAATTGGTTTCTTCTCTTCAGTTTTGGTTTAATCCAGTGTTTCTCTTTCAATAACTTGTTTACATTCATCTTGAATTATATCCCATAGTATTATTTTTTGGCATAATCTACTTTCAGGCAGGCTATCTGTGCCAACTTTTATCTACAGCATTTGATTTCCATTCCCAAATTGGTGTTAATAAACGTTTTACAAAGTTGAGTCTTTTTAAAGGTTTGAAATTTTTCAGTTATTAAGTTATTCAGTTTCTAGCAACTCTTTCATGGCTTTGCCCCAAAACTTTTTCCTCCAGTACATTTTTTAAAGCCTTTAAAAACATGACGAGGAAGATCTTACGTGCAACTAAAGTAAGCTTATGTTTGAGTGGAAGAAGAGGAATCACTGCCGTAACAGTAGGAAAATAGATAATGTTATGATTTTTATTTTATTCACTTTTTCTTAGTATAATTATAATTTTTTACTTCAAATTTTCCGTAACTTTTTATATGTTTTTGCCAACCATATGAAATTACCAGGAAATATGGGAAATTTACTTCTACACTTCGTAGAAGAAGTTTTAACGCATGTGCATCAAAACTTGTTGAATTGGAGCACACATACCGTAATGGGTCTTTTAATATTCAACTTTAGTAAGTCCCCTACCTATCTCATAAGAGAAAAATCCAGCTTTGCAAAAAGTTTTTAAGGCAACACTGTATAAAAGCATGTCTGGCTCAATAGAATATATTCTTTGTACATATTGCACAGTAGTGTCATCTGAATATGTATCTATTTGTATTTCCACTTTCTTATTATTTTTGTCTAGTTTTTGTATTGCGTTTGTTCTAGAAATTTGTGATATTTGTGATGAGAAATTTAGGTATTAAAAGTAGAGTACCGTATGAATATATGGATGAATTTATGTACAATCTGCATTGTATCTGTGGAGTCCTCTGATATGATTTGGAGGCGAATTTGTAACTAAGTTGTGAAGTAGAGCTTTAAGGTTTACATTTATTATTCCCAACATAGTGATATGGTTATGTCTTTTAAATTCATAAATTGTGCCAGAAAAATTTGTATTATAAATATTGAATAAAATATTAATTGATTTCCTAATTTTTTTTTCCTTACACACAGAATTTTGGCTCCATTAAAAAAAAAAAAAAAAAAAAAAAAAAAAAATTGAAAGATGAAAAACTTTTAATGTTATAGCACCTATCCAAAGTGAAATTATTTTTCCAATTCTTGCTGCTTCACCACTTGCAGCACGAGGGGGTAAATGGAGATTTGAGTGTTACTGTAAAATATGGCTGTTAAATGTTTCTTGCAGTGGCGTGAATGATCGATTATCAATGTTTCACCATTTAAAGCTGTGGTAAAGAATCGATTATTAAGGTGTTTGTTGCGAACACTTAAATAATCGAACCTTTTCCATAGGTTTAAAGGGCAGATAAATCGATATATCGCAAAGCACGCCACGCCACTGGTTTCTTGCTGTATGAAAAACAAAGAATCCATCATCATTTCATCAGCTTTATTTCATAAGATTTCCAAGAGTGAAAATATATAACTCAATTGTTTTATTAAACATCCTTTTAATTTATGGTGTACATAGTTGCTACTTGCATGCTTGATATGGGACTCAGCATCCGCACTTCGTCAGCCCTGAACAGGATCCAAGACAGTTAGAGAAGCAATTCTCTGGGCAACCAGGTGGCCAATTCTGTGAACAAATGCCGTTTCGATTTCAAAGATGCAATTTATAAATTTATTAAACTGACCAGATAATTGAGGGGCTTGGAGGACAAGGCTCATAGGTGCAGTTTTTTAAAAAATTGAGATATTGATTATTTCAACCAAAGCCAGTCTTGAAGTTTATTCAGTGAAAATTCCAGAGCTAAAATCTAACTTTAAAGCATCAAAAAGTGAGTTCAAACTCCCTTTCTACCATAAGGTCCCATGTAATTTTGAAACTTGAAATTTGTATTTCTTGAAATAGCAGAAACTGCACCTATGCGCTTAGTTTTCCAAGCCACTCAATTTAAATCTAATATCGTTAAAAAATTAATAGAAAAAACACATTAAAAGTACAGAATGTTCCAGACCATTGGGATGTTTCTAGGATAAAGGAACTGTTCATACTCAGTATTGCCAAACTTTGTATGGGAATTTTATTTTTTTACAAATGAATCAATAAATAGATTTGTGCCAAGACATTGCTGAATTTCATTAGTGCCATGGCATGAAGAATATTTAGTTAAATTTTCATGCAAACCAACACATTGGTTTGGTCGTAAAAGTAATACAATTTCTAAACAATTTTTGGCAAGGCTAAATGTAAGTATGAAATTCATTTTATCATAAATACATAGCTTAAATGAGAAATCACCACCAGTGAGCTTCAGACACAAATTCAAGCACATTTTTTTTTATTTTGAAATTTCTCTAATCTGGATTATCCTCTTGGAAATATACAATCAACCCAAAAATGAGCAGCAAGATTATGTCTTTGAAGAAAAGTAGAAGAACACAAATTCAGAGTGAAAATTTGTCCTAGTTGTAAAAATAAAGTGCGGGGAAGTTTTGCCCTCAATATAGTGGCACTTACAACAGGTACACCACGCTGTACCTATTCCGTGGAAACAAATTTTTACAAATGGTTTGGCATTACATAATTATTATTTTGTTGCGTCCTTTCTTCTTTGTTGATTTTTTGGGTAGTTGTCTTCTTTGACAGAAAATATAGTATAAATTGGATTAACAAATTAAAAATCTTACGCCATATCGTCGCGACAAGAAAGTACGGCGATCTTCCCTTTCACTTTCACCCATAATGCCAGCATCCGTGTTACTAAATGTGCAGAAGAGCATCTGAAAACATGGTAAAAGCAAATAGTGAGCCAAAAGCCATTTCTTTAAGATCAATCCAAAGTTAAAGAGCCTCGGCAAAAAATGGCTTGTTTTCCCCTCTTTCTGAACCGCGCAGATTGTATTAAAACATGGCCCTTGTGAGACCTTACTGTGACCCTTAACCAACCTACCTTCATTTTATTAATTTTTTATCGTAAAATTTGACTAAGATATTCCCTATTTTTCTCCTGTTTGGAGACAGTGCTTCAAATTGATTCACCATAAGTTAATATCACCGCACTAAGCAGGAGACACGATCTGCATTACTGCTTATAACTAAGTTTTCAAGACTTAAAACTCCATGAAAAATTCCGATTTTCTTCCACACTTTGCGTGGAAAATGTTGAATCTTAAAACACATTTGCTTTCAGGTTTTTTATTGACTTTGTATTTTCACCTCTCTTTTTTTTATTAGTTTTAAAATTTTGGATTTGTTTTAAAATTTTCAAAGTTTTGAACATTAGGTACCTATTTTAAATTATGAAGACTTCAAAGATTCCGAAAATTTTTAGTTTAGCTAGAATTTTGAAGCTCTGAAAATATTTCTAACTTTTAAATTAGTTATGTATTTCAAAAAAGTGGGTTTTCTATCAACATTTTTCATGGTCTCCAGATTCAACTGTTCCGATCAGGTACCTTATGTTGAAAATAAACAGGTTCCTAAAATTGAAAATGTTCAGGAGTTTTGAGGATGATTTTTCAAGATGATAAATACCTAGTTAATTAAAAAGAGCGATTATAAGAAAGTGAATATATTGATAAATGAGTAAAAGGAGGAGAAAAATAAGCAAATTGAGAGAAGACAGCATAGTTGCAAAAAAACCCTCTCCAAAACATGATACTCACCAAAGCATACCTATGTATCCTTTTTTCACTGAAACTATGGGAATTAGAGCTTTGAACTTTCTGCCCTCATCTGGTAAGATTATCACCAAAACCGGAGGCAGACGTAGTTTTTTTTTCAGCCTTAAGTCTTAAGTCCATTTTTTAGTTTTGATTTTTTTCTTTGATAAAATCCCATCCCTCCTCCCTCTCTCTTAAGTTACCTTTGGCGAGGGGCATAATGACACCGCATGGGTAACAAATAGAACCATGATATCTTAAAATTCGTAAGAAACGAAGACATAAGGAGAGAATTGGAGGTAGGTAGCCACGGTTAGACAAGTAATCGCTGAGACAACGGAGAGATATGAATGTCATCTTGAAAAACATGTCAATGAAGAGGCTGTAGGTAAACCTCTTAGATAGTACAATAGTAGTAGTAGTGAAAAGATTAAAATGGTGGGAGACCTTTGAACTCCCATCAAGATTTACTTTGTAAGTAGTCTGTAAGGTATGAATGAGAGTGTGGATGGAGTGCGAAGGAAGACTGTGAAACAATTAAAACTAAAAACCTGCATGTTTTAATATCTCTAAAAAAGAAGGCAGAGAATTGTACAATTCCTGTTTTTTAGATAGGTACTTAATCATCGTCGCATTATCTAACGTTACCCTGTACATTTAATGCAATTCGTTTAGTTTTAGTTTTAAACCATGTAGATAGATACAGGGCCGGATTTACCTATAGGGCACTGGGGCACTTGCCCATAGCGGCAAATTTTGAGGGGCGGCAAATTTTGGCACTGGATTAATTGAAAGTTAAAGCGAGAAAAAAGGAAAAAATGGAGACAGAGACGGAGCGAAGTGAAAAGATGAGCGGCAAAATGTATGAAGGAAGGGAGTTGACGCTTGACGGGAGCGGCAAAGCTGCCGCCCCTTAGGT